AGAACCTCACTAAACTGAAAAGCTTCTGAAAAACAAAAGAAACTATCAAGAGAGTGGGGGAAAGGCCCATAGAATGTGAAAAAGTATTTGCCAACTGTATACCTGACAAAGACCTAAAATCCAGGATCTACAAGTAGCACAAGAGTGCCGAAAGGAAAATACCAAACAGTCCCATTTAAAAGTGGGCAAAGTACATAAATAGACACTTCTCAAAAGAAAATATATGGGCAGCCAACACACACATGGAAAAGTACTCAGCCTCACTAATCATCAGAGAAATGTCACATGGAAAAGTACTCAGCCTCACTAATCATCAGAGAAATGTCAATCAAAACCACATTGAGATATCACCTAGCCCCAGTAAGAATGGCCATCATTAATAAAACAAACAACAGCAGATGCAGGCAAGGATATGAATAAAAGTGAAAATTTCTACACTGCTGATAGGAATGCAAACTAGTTCAAACCCTGTGGAAAACAGTGTGGTAGTTTCTAAAATAACCAGAAATTGACCCTCCGTATGACCCAGCAATCCCACTACTGGAAATATAACTGGAGGAACTCAAATCATTCTACAAAAAAGATACTTTCACATGCATGCTTATTGCAGCAATATTCACAATAGCAAAAACATGGAACCAACTGTGCTGCCCATCAAAACTGAACTGGATAAAAAACAGTGGTACATATACATGATGGAATATTATGCAACCATAAAGAAGGAAAAACATATGTACTTCACAGCAATATGTGTGAATTTAGAGTCTATAATACTCAGTGATCTATTGCAGAAATAAAGAACAGAGTACCACATATTCTCACTCATAAACAGACCCTGAACATTTACCATAATCCGATAAGAAAGGGATTGGCAATAGCAGGATACTGATGAGGTGGAAGGTGGGGACACAATATCAGTAAGGTTACCTGATCTCAAACCAGGCAAAGTGGGGACCATAGGGAAGCCCAAACTATACCTGTATGATATCCACTTGTACATCTAATCCTGAATTATACCACAAATCTTTAAAATAAAACATAAACTTAAAATGACAATAATAATAAATAAAGATACATTTAGAAAACACAAAATATTTGGAAATTAATCAAGCAAATTCAAAATTGCCTGTGGGTTAAAAAAGAAATCAAAAGGGAAATTAGATCAACCAACAACAATAACAAACAAAAAAAGAAATTTTTTTGGTAGCAACTGGATAACTGCCTAAAGATAGATTTATAGCTGCAAACACATATATTAAATAAAAATAAATATAAAATGAATAAATAAAGTTTCTTAAGAAGTGTAGAAAAGAAAAATAGATTATAACAATGAAAATAAAATAAATTAATAAAGATCAAAAATAAATGAAATAGTGAGAACAATAGAAAAAAGGAACAAAATATGATTATTTGGAGAAGTCAAGAAGTCAATAAATTTGACAAATATTTAGAAGTCTTATCAAGAAAAAAAAAAAAGATTAACCAAAACCAGAAATACAAGACAGGATATTATTACAGACCTTAAACTACATATATACATATAGTTTATACATATATTATATATAACTGTATGCCAACAAATTTGAAAATTTGATAACCTAGATAAAGTGAACATATTCCGAGAAAGGCACTAATTAACAAATTTGACTCAAGTATAAATAGAAAATCTGAACATAGTAAAAAAAAAAGTTTTAATCAGTAATTACACCTTTCCACAATGAAAGCCCAGGGTGAGATGCATTTTTGGTAATTTCTACCAGATATTGAAAGAATAAGAAATAGCCTTCCTTGACAAATCACCCTCTCCCCTCTAAAAAAGTAGAATTGAAAATTGACAAATTCATTTTATATTTCTAGTATTACTCATATTAAAAGTTGAACATCAATATCTTCTACTTAGAAGCAAAAATCTTCAACAAGATTTTAGTAAATGGTGTTCAGTTATTATGCAACAATGAACAAGTGAGATTTATCTCAGGAATGCAAGTGTAATATAACTAAACATCAAGTAATTTAATATATCATAATAAAATTGGGTGCAAAATTATAGGACCGTCTCAATAGATGCAGAAAAGAATTGAAATAATCCAATACCTTTTTATAACCAAAAATCTTCCCAAATTATGAATGAGACATCCTCAACCTAATAATTCCACTCTTGAAATATAACTGCATATATTTGATATTTTCCACTCAATATAATGGAACTATGGTTCCTTTTTCTTATTTTTTTCAATGTCTTTGAATGCCATTAGTCTCAAATGTTCAAATCTAGAGGGAATAATATGTAGATTTATAGCCTACTATCTTTTTATTTCTATTTAGTGATAAACAAGTATTACATTCTATTAAGTAGGATTATTTTGGAAACATTTTTATGTTTAGATATTCAAATCCCACTTCACTACCAAAGTCTTCAATTTTTAAAAATGTTGATAAATATATCACACTGCTTATCAAAAGGGTTAAATATCTATTACAAAATCCAAGCTTCAAAAGAATGCCTATATTGTTTGGCAGATCAAATAACTAAAATATGACAATTCAATCAAAACATAAACAAAGGAAATGTTTGTTGCTTACCAATAATAGTAAATCAAGAACTCAATAATATTTATATGTACATCAAATCTTTCTGTCTCTCTCCATGGTGCTGTTTTGAATTATGACTACATAATAGCAAATTAAAACAATAAAAAATATTGCCCACTTATCAGCCTAGTAAATGTTGAAATAAATAAATAATATTTGTTGATATCTCTTTTCTCCTGTGTTTTTATTTTTAACAGCAAAAGAATGGGAAAACAATCATGGCCACATCATCTAACATTACTCCAAACCAAAACAGAAGAGTACTTATCATTTCTCCATTATGACTTTTTCTTCTACAATAGTATGATATAAAGAAGAACAAATGAGGCAATATGAATTCTCCAACATCCACGTTTATTACTAAATACAATTATGCTTCTCATAAATTCCTTTTCACAGAAAGGTGACTTTCATTATTTTACTCTTTAATTATCTCATAAATTTCTCAAAAATGTCATCTCCAAATTTCTCTTTATGTGGTTGTGCTTTTAATTTCTCATGTTTCTCATCTTCTAATAATAGATTATTTCATTGAAACATTAGACTCTATGAAGGGGAACCCCAAACAAGAAACATTATTTATGAAAAAGGGTGTATTCATTCTTACAAGTTTAAACTTCAATCACCATCAGAGTATTCTCAGTTTGATGCATCATACCTATTGAATTGCATTTGCAACGGATCAAAACAGGTTTTGAACTCTTCAGTTTATGACACATTTTGGTGCTTCTGCTGTTTTTTGTTTCACCTTTTCCACGGGACAAAAGGTTTCCCTTCAAGATCTTTTTTTCATCTGGGGACACAAACAAACAAAAGTCACTCGGGGTCAGATCAGGTGAATAGGGAGGATGGCGGACAGAGGTCATGCTATTTTCAGTCAAAATCTGTTGAACACTCAGTGTTTGTCATGATGGAGGAACCAGTCATCTGTTTGCCATGACTCAGCTCATTTCTCCCCAAAATCATGTTGCAATCTTCTCAAAACTTCCAGATAAAAACTTTGACTGACCACTTGACCTAGAGGAACTAATTCTGAAAGAACTATAAGGAACCTGCCCTCCAAAAGATAATTTCACTTTTGGGAAGTCACCCCTCACAATTATTATACCATTAACACAGGTGGGTATTTTTAAAACATCTGATGAAAGTGGTGTCTCCACAATTTAATCTCTTTTGGAGCCTTTTCTATTGGGTTGACTCAAAATTAAGTCTCTTCACGTTTGGTTGTACGACTATAAATTTGTGTAGTATTTTCCTTCTCTCTTTTTTTTTTTTAAGTTGGAATTTCACTCTCTTGCCCAGGCTGGGGTGCAGTGGCAGGCTATTCTCAAGCCCATGGGCTCAGACAATCCTCTAACCTCAGCCTCCTAAAGTGCAAGGATTACTGGATTGAGTCACTGTGCTCTACCCTTTTTATCTTTTCTTTCCTTTGTAAAATCTTTTTTAACTCTGACATATGACTAAATTCATAAGTTGATCAAAAATGTTTTCAATTAAATATACCTAATACATTTTCGTTCTTCAAGAAAATAGTTTTCTTGTTTTCAAACATGTAGATAATTAACACATATGAATAATTAACAATCAAATATCAATCAAAGCAAACACTTCCAGGGGTTGCGATAGACACCTATTTGTAATACATCTATTATCTTTCTAAATGTATGTATGTATATACATAAATAGCTAATATTTATGTATTATGTATGTTATGCATATTTATGTATATTATGTATATTTAATGATTTTTTTAAAGTTAAGATTTCACTCTGTCATTCTTGCTGTAGTGCAGTGGCACAATTATGACTCACCTCTGCCTGGAACTCCTGGACTCAGGTGATTCTCCTACCACAGCCTCCCATCAGTTTTGATAAATATAAATATTCCAAAAGCCCTGACTTGTTCATTATGTACAAATTAACAATATGTAATAGTTTAATATACAATAAAATTATCAGAATCAAATTAAATAGAATGCATTTAGATTTTCATATTTATAAATCATGTAAATATCCTGCCCTTTAAAAAATGTATATATAAGAAACAAACAAAAAGAATGAAATGATAATTTTTAACCGCCAAATATTCAAAAAGTGGGAAAAATATGTTATTAATAATTGTGATCGTTTTCAGTAAGTTGGTAAGTATGTATCTACAACATTGGTGATATTGAATCTCTAATATATATATATATATTTTAGTTCTAGAACACTGAGATTTTAATATAACGAATTATTAATATCAGGATGATTAATATAGAAAGGAGACCTATGGATGAATATCAATTTCTTGGTCAATGTCCTTAAAAACTTGTTTCTAGAAAGCATTTTACAGTATTTTTTTGAAAATTAACATTTTTTTGAATAGTATCTTGCTGCACATATGGTTCATTTTTCAGTAAAGATGGTTTATTTGGTTGTCAGTGTTTCATCATCTGAGAGGGCCAATGGAGGGTGTGGATAGTAACCAGCTGTTTTTGAATTACTTGAAGAGAATCCTGCACATTTGTAGTCCAGAGGTAATTCTGCAATTGCCTCAATACTTGGAATTGCAATGGTATTGTAAGTACTGATTCTCTTACAGGACCAGGTATGAACCAAGGAGTCTTCTGTATTTTCCAGTCTCGAAACAGAATCAGTAAAAAAACGAGCCCCATTTTTTAGATAAGGTATTTAGAGGTTTTGCCTTTGATCCCTCATACTTCCCTTTCTTCCCTAGTGACTCCGAGCCCTCGGGTCTCCGATCCCTCATGCCCTCATCACCCCTCAGCTCTTCCAGGATCAGGACTGTCTCCCAGTTACTATAATGACGAGCTGGGAAAATGTCCGAATGCATGCTGTCACCAAAATAAACCACCTGGGGCTCCTGTTTGCTGGTCATTTTCTTCAGAAGTTCATAGAGGTGCACAGCATTCCCTTGGGAGTACCAGCCAGGCTTGTCCAGAGAGGGCAGCGTCTCCTGCTCCTCATCATTCTCGAGTGTCCGGAAGGGCCTCTGACTTGGTGGATGGGAGAAGAAACCAGGCTTCAATGCGTTTGTGATCACAATGTCAAAAAGTTCTGTGAAATCATTCCCAAGGATATATTCACAGAGAAGTCTACAGTAATCGCTGTGGGAACTGGTGATTAGCACAAGAATTTTCCCAGCATCCTTTAGCTGCCGAAGCCACTTTTTTACAGATTCAGGACCACTGTGTAAATATCTGCCTGGATCTCTTTTTATTTCTGGGAAATATATTCCACAGTTTTCCTTAAAGGCTGACATTTTATAATTGGGTCGTATACCGGCAACAATGTCCTTCCAAAAATCAAATGTTTTTTGACCATTGTTCTGCTTTGTTAAGGAGTCCACCACCCGGGCGCATAGAAGGGCTCCTGGCAGGTCAGAGTAGTTATTATAAAAATAATACTTTCCTGAGCGACAGGCCATCCCTGTATCTGACAGGAAGTGCTTCCACTCCTTCTTGCCGTAGGCCTTGGCCAGTGCTTCGGGGGTCAGCATCTGGGTTCCATGGCTCGCCCTGAGAACAGTGCCATTGTCTGCAAGTTTAATGAAGTTCCCATCTTCTGGGTCCGAGGCCAAACCTTGGCAACAGAAATCCCAATCCTCTGGAGTTACCACAAGCAATTCCTTGTCATACCCTTTTTCCTTACCTAGAAACTCAGCAAAGCTATTATAAATGAGCGGGGTGCTCTCAGGCAGGTTGTAGCGACACAGCGTGTGGTCTAGGTCGAAGCCCACCACATCGCAGGCGGCCAGGGAGAAGGGCTGGGCCATAGCTGCAAGGGAACCGGGGCGCGAGCGGGAGGTGCGAGCAGCAGGCAAGACGCTGCGGGACCGAATCTCTAATATTAAATATAGAAAATGAAATGATTTCACAAACTCAGAGAGAAAATCTATGCTCCCGTTTCTGCAAAAAAATGACAGAGTAAAAAGAATACATTTAGAGCTACCTAATCAAATTATTATTTAATGTTTTATTAATTAGCTATTCTATTTTGTATGTGAATAGAGTATTGTTATTTGTATTAATTTGGATGAAACTGGTGAAATAACTGATGATTTTATCAACATGAAATTGATATGAAAATTTATCTTATAAGGAAATAGAATAATAAACCTCCATGAAGTTTCAACTTAGCACGAATTTAATGTACAATACGTAATTATTTCTAGAACAAGATATAATAAAAATTGATAAAATCTCTTTGTTATGGTTTATATATATGCTTTTTCATATGCCCACTGCTGGACTTTAGAGTTTCATTGAAATACACACATACACAAAGGCCATGATAATTGATCAGTAAACTATCTTAGAAAAAGTAAACAGAATAATTATAGATATGTAAATAGACCACTGAGGATAGAATTTATTACATAGGCCTGAGAAATTATATAGGTTAAATATTATAGAAAAACAAGATAAATATGAGTACATGAGATTTAATGAACACAATTTTAGACTTAACAATGATTGAATGACTATAGTTTTCTATGCATATATACTAACATAATGTATGGTTCTCAATTGAACATCGCATATAAGTGAAATAGTCTAAACAAAACGCTGCCTTAAGAAACTAATACTTCTTTTCTGATTATATTGCAAATAATATTAGATCTAAAAAAAAACTCATAGTGGTGTATAAAGATATTTGCTGATGATAGATAGATGGATAGATAGATAAATAATAGATTACAGGTGGATATAGAGATAGAAATATAGCTTCAATGATCAGTTATCAGATGTTTTAGGCAAAAAAAAACAAAAAACGAGTAATATAACAAGCCATTATGTAAAGACTAATATGATATGCTTTGCCATATTTATTACATCATTAATTATTATTTTTTTAAAAAACTAACTATAAAATTAGACCATTACAAATTCGGATCCCAAAAACTCAGAATTTAATTACAATTATTTAAAAATTTTGAATTTATTCTTACATTTTAAACTTCAGTCCCCTTCAAAGTACTCTTCTTTTGATGCAATACACCTATCAAGACAATTTTTCCACTGCTCAAAACAGTTTCTGAACTCTTCAATTTTGATGCCTTCTAGTGCTTCTGCTGTGGTTTCACCTCCCTGTATTGGCAAAACTTTTCCTTTTAAGGAAAACAAAAACAATTTGCTCAGGGTGAGATCTGAAGGGTAGGGAGGGGGGAGCACAGGTGTCATATTGTTTTTGGTCAAAAACTGAACACTCAGCACAGTATGGGCAGGTGAATTTTTGCCACACATTGTTTGTATAAATCACCCATCATGAAAAGGGCAAACATGTTAAAAGAATCTCCAAAAAAAAGGAAAAAATTAACTGAATCTGGAGGCAGCTTCTCACAACACGCTAGCATGTACATTGATGCCAACGGGTTCCTAGAACACTTACCTAAGGGGTAGGAGAAGTCTGTACTATGAGGGGCCTGCCCTCCAAAACATAATTCTGTTTCTTGGGGAGTCCACTCTCATATGTACACCTCCCTAATCTCAATCTTCTTCTCTTCCATTCTTACATAAAAATGGTATTAGTGATTAAAAAAAAAAAAATCTCATAGTGCTATTATATACTTCTATGAATTTTTCCTGTACAAATATGTCAAACAATGGAGTAGAATTTTTTTCATATTTTAGTATTGTATACAAATATTGTTTTATATCAATACAATTTAAGTTTTATATCAATACAATTCTACAACTTTCTTTTGTGAAAAATATATTCATGATGTTAATATAATGCTAGTTTATTTACTTAAATCATTATTTAATGATCCATTTTATAATTATGCAACGCTTTTAATTACATTCAATATTTGGATATTTAGATTGCATATATTAAAAGGTAACAATAACTTCCTAGAAGGAGGTTTGACTTTTCCCACTAATGTTTAGCCACAGAGATTTGCATAATATTATCGAATTCACAGTTCACAGTTATCAATACTAAGAACTATGTGATCCTTTTTGCTTTCTCCTCTTAATTGCTTACAGAATCTGCAACTGCAGACATTTAATTATTGTCAAAGTAGGAGGGTGAAAAAGCAAAAGTACTCAAAGGTATATACCAGTGGATCTCTCTTTTAAAGAACTTTACTAAGAGTCCTACTCAAAATTTTTCATATGTGTATTCTTAATCTGTACTATGTCTTACGGATAATCCCAAAAGCGATTGAAGAAGGTCATTTAATTTAATTTTTGGCTAGACACAACAACACATAGATAGCATCAAATATATCTTTTTAAAAAAGAATAGATGATCTTTGTCAATTTTTATGATAAAACAATGCTACAATAACATTTATGTAGAGTTATGTTTGAATGACTGTATATATAGTAGTGTAAAAACAGAACAACTAAATAAGTCACTGCTCAAACTGGAATTAATTTAGAATAAAAAGGGAACTTATTAAATATTATTCCTGGAAAATAAGGAAATACTAGGGCTATTCTATGCAAAACTGAGGTTTAGTGTCACCCTTGTTATATAGTGCATGCCTCTTCAAACTATCCAGATACTACTACATGGCAAATTAATACCAATCTATCATTGGGCCAACAAAATTTGAGAGTTTCCCTGGATCTTTATTCTAGCTAAATCTTAGTGCTATTCTCAGTGTTCTTCCATTTTTTTTTTGCCAGTGTGATATATGAAATATACAACCTTATACTTTTAGTTAGTATATCCATGGTTACTTGGGAGGTTTATGTTTACTGTCTACTTAAGCTTTCTCTCCTTAAATGCCTAAGCGGATATATTACCCATTATATTTTGAATTGTTTGTCTTTGCTTTATGGATTTACAGTATACTTATGTGTCATGTTTTTTAATTCCCCCACCCCACGGCAGTGTTATGAACCTCCAACCATAATTAGGTTCCCATGTGGAGAATGATAATGCACATACAAATGGATAATAGATACATAAAAACAGAAGGGCGAAGTTTTTTTTTTTTTTAAGCTGATTCAAAAATTAGCTTGAAAATCTAGGCAAAGGAGATCAAAAGTGTTTAGGGGTAGTGCCTAGCCAAGGGTTCCCAAATTTGGTTTAAACTTTCCACCAACACCAAATGAGAGGGCACTCAAACTTTATTATTAGTTTTCCCAAATGTGGAGGCGAATGAGAAGGAGTAGTGAGGCTTAAAAGTTGCAACAATCAAACATCAAAAAATTGTGTCTCTTGATCAAATCTTGTTCTGACGCTCACCATGAATAAGGTATTGTGATTTATTTAATTGAATATGTACTTGTTTAAGTAAAACATTGTTACACGCAACAATGTTTACAGACAAAAGCAGGTAAGAGAGGTAAAATTTACATTGAAGTCTTATTTTAAGTGTCTAGTATTGTGTAACTGGAGAAGTAAAGTTAGTGCCTTGGTTATTACTGATGCTGTCTGGACTATGATAAAGGAAATTATGTCTTGGTGAGGTCTTGCATTATTACTTTAGTAAGTGTAAAGACAGGCATGACCTTGATTTATAATTGGAATACTAAAGAGGCAAGAGATTCTTACTACAAGGGTGTTCTCTTAAATTAAACACACATAAAAAGTGGTTGTTGCTGACATTAGCCAACAAATGACTAGACTATTAGCAATGGTCAAAAAAAGTTTGTGCAAATGTACAAATGTTGCTTATTTGTATCCATGGCATCCACTGTCAAGATGCCTGCTTGATGTTTGACTGTGTTCACTTTTCAGTTCTCTCCTTTTTAAAGAGTTGTTCGGCTTAAGAAGTGAAAAAGCAACAACTGTTCCTGAACTTCATTATCTTGAACGATGGTCATGTCATAAACTTACTTTGATCTTCACTCAGTTCACCTATAATGGCTTCCCAGGTAGCAAGGGCCTGGGAGAGAGGTGACCTCTTTCATATTAGGACTAGAAAGAGACTATAAACAAGGACGTTAAATATGTCAGAGGGCCCAGCTTCGACAGACTGTGGTTGGCAGACTTCTGCGGTCATAACTTGTATGTGGGGTGCTGGTTCCATGATCTAAGAGCATCTAGGTCTAGAAGGACAGAGGCTTGGGGCTTATAAGGGACTCCAGTTCCAGGAGAGCTCAGTATGCAGCTAGCAATTGTCACTCCCAATAAAATATAAAGGGGAATTAAAGGGATAGTTTCTTGTATGAGAAGCACATGGCAATTTATAGGCATTACACATGACCCTGCGACTCCACCATGCATAAGTGAAGGTTGCTAAAACTGCTAAAGGGAAGAGGTCACTGGGTGGCACGAATGGTAGTGTCTGTTCTGTTGCAGCTTGAACAGATTTTAAAGTCTTTTGCTGAAAGGCGCCCCATTAAAGATGTGATAATTTGCAACTAATGGCAAATAGGCATAAGTAATATTGTCAGTAAGGAGTATATTGCCTCTAGGACTCAAAAAGAACTAAAAGATGTTGCACATATATTAACTTTTTGAGTGCTGAGAGAGACAATACCTATTTCCTGAGAAACTTAGGGATGGAGAAGTCCTGGAATTACCCAGAAAGTTTAGGAATTTGACTCAGGTGCTGTGGCCTTAAATTATGTGAACTCTTTTGTGTGTATTTATATATTCTAAATTAATGTGCCAAAAAATTCTCCCCAGAGGAGGATAACATCAGTGTGATATTATACCTGTGCTCCTAAAGAAAGCTAATGTAGTTAAGATCTTGCTGCAAATGCTGTGTGTAATGGCAAGGCTGTTGATGTACTCAACGCATAGCAAGATAAAGATATGTTGTGTCCCTTTGGAGGTGAAGGAAAAATGCTACTGTTAAATTAAGCACTGAACTGAATATATTAATCAAATTTATAGTAGAAAAATATTTACTACTTTCTGATTA